AAATAAACTTCAAACACTTTAGACTATTTTTTCAGTAGCCAGCTCTATCTGTTTACACTCAGATTTTTGAACAATGTGACATGTATTTTCTGTGCTGGTTCTGCAATAATAGTAAGTTATTGGAAGAAATGTGCTGTATTGTTGATGCACAGGGATGTTCTGTCACAACAAGGTAAACCTGGTTTTATATGTGCAGTTAAAGTTGTACCTTTGAATTGTTAATACGTCACTGCCAACACTGACATTAGTCATTGCAGAATGAAACTAGGGAATTCTTTAAATTGTGCCAAGACTCAAGTTTGTAGTCATTACTGTGGTCCCTGCTTTCTGCTTTTCACAGATGAGGAAAAGAAACAAAAGTGGTTGTAAAGCCCTGTAATGAAGGAAATGAGCTGGTTAAATGCGAGCTTTAGCCGAATAAATGTTATTCTCCTCTCTCACACAATGCAGGCCAAGTTTGAATTTCATCACGGTGACTATGAAAAACAGTTTCTGCATGTTCTGAGCCGAAAGGACAAGACTGGAATTGTTGTCAACAACCCTAACCAGTCAGTGTTTCTCTTCATTGACAGACAGCACTTACAGGTAAGCTTATTTTGTCTCTCTTTTTTTAACAAGTGTGTGTTAATCACAGAATGCTTTTTTTTTTCTTAGGAACATCAGTGATTTTACTGCAAAATAGGCAAGTAGAAAAATTGATCTTGCATTTCAGCAGTTTCAGAGGAAATGTATGGTATAACTAGGCTTATTACATGCAAAAACTAGCTAGGGGCCACAGATGTGTTCACACAGAATAATGTTCTTGTATTAAAAATCAAAGTAGTACTAAAATAGGCTTAATGGTGTTTTGGAAAAATTAAAACATTGGCTTAATTGATACTACAGGAATTATTCAAGTGACGAATGAACAGAACAGTGAAAATATTTTAGGCATTAGAGGTTGCAGACTGATTTTGAGTTCAAGCTGTTTATTCAGCTGAAATAGTGGCTTTTAAATGTCTGTGGTGTTTCTCCATGACCAGCAGCAAGCTAATAACTGGGCTGGATCTGCTGGGGGTCTGCCTATTAGTCCTGAGTCAGCTTTTGTGTTTAATAGCTTTTCTTTGGGTTTTCTTTGCCTCTAGACTCCAAAAAACAAAGCTACAATCTTCAAGTTATGCAGCATCTGCCTGTACCTGCCACAGGAGCAGCTCACTCACTGGACGGTTGGTACCGTAGAGGATCACCTCCGTCCCTACATGCCAGAGTAAGGTACTGGCCAGCAAAATGGGGAAGATCACAGAATGCAGCAGTGGATTTTCACTTTCCTCACCACTTTATTCTTTCAGAATTTAGAAGAAAAATGGACTCATGTTCAGAACACTATACATTGTGAAACTTGATCATCCTGGATTTTTTTTAGCATTTGTATCTCAGAACTTTACAATTTTTTTTAGATGTTTTCTGCATGGACCTTGTGAAAGAGAGGATGCTCTGCACGCTTCTGCACTGCATCAGCATCTTACTAAAATGTGAAATGAAGGGACTGTACACTGAAACAAATGTATCCGAAAGCACAAGGTGATCATTTGTGGTGGTGTTCCCATTTGTGCTGGTCATGCCCCCTAACATCTATAATGTTAACCATCAGTATTTGGAGGGTGAGAAGTGAATGTAACGGGTATAAAAAAGCCTTACAGCTTTGCTGTTAATGATTGTATCAAAGAGCACTATCATTCATTTTAATGAACAGAAAAGTGGCTATTACAAGAGGAAGTAAATGTGGGAAAGAAATCTTTCTTAAAAAAGCATCTCATTTAATGTGTAGGCATTTTCTGCCTCTTTTTATTTTGCTGGGCCATGTCTAAGTTTACTGGCACTTTTGTTTTGGATCTCTTTCCCCAAGTTGCTGTATAACTGTATGAAAGTATTCTTTTGAGTTGGATGCATTTATACAGATGAGGCAGACCTGGAGTCTGAAGTTGCTAAAGCAGCTAAAAATAAAGTAAAATAATAGCTGCAGAAACAATGTTGGTAGAGGATTATTTTTTCTTGAGAGTTGAGACTTGTAAACTTGCAGGTGAACTGTGCAGGAAATACTGGTTTCTAAAACATTTCTTATGGAAAACCCATTGAGGTTTTTTTTTCTTTTGGAATAGACATAAAACAATGTAAAATAGTGTTTGGAGTGTCAAAAGTTGGTTCTGACAGAACATTTTAAGATTGTGCAATGATAAAAGGAAGACTACTGTATAGTTTTGATGACAAAGAAGGCTCTGCTTAAGGGTTGAGTACTTTACTGGAGTAAAACTGCATAAGCCTGCTCCCTTTGGATAAAACTAGTGCTTACCTGTTTAAAACTTGTATTTAGCTTTTGTTTGGAATTGGAAAAAATTGGAACTTAAATAAATTAGGTGAAAGATGACTGGTTTGATTTATGGAAATCCTATGGATTGAATTTTAGTAGTGGCTTACATCTTGACAGCATCACCCATTACAAACACTGAAAATGTACAGGCTGGAAAAAGGTATTAACAAAGATAAGCAGCAAAGGTGTTCTTACATGTGTGGGCAATATGTTTGTTTTGAAAAGTAGCTGTTGGAAATAATCTAATTACTAGCATACTATTGTATTGGTACATGGGTATTTTTAGTTCTTTGCTCATAACGTCCTACAGGCTAAACGAGCATCCTAGAAAAACATCACCTGAAACATGCATCTTCACATTAATAAATGCCTTGAGTTACAAAGAAATATCTTGAAAATGCTGCTCTACGGAATGCTAAGACTTTCTGGAGTATTTAGTAACCACCATACCTGCTAATGGTACTTAAAATTTCCCAGCTTTAAGTGCCCCTTCTTTGAATGGCCTGTAAGACACAATACTAAGTGTCCACATAAAGATCAAGAGAGGTTTTGTAAGGTCTCAAGTATCCAAGTTTCATGAGTTTGGATTTTGCTTCCCAAGTGCAATCCATTTGTTTCTTCTTAATTTGTCATTTTGGACATCCTCTCACAGCAGTGAGAATGTGGCCATAGTTCCCTTGGTTAGCAAAGCAAATGACTTGGTAGTTCTTGGGTTAGGAATCTTGGTCTTCTCCATTCTGGTTTCTCTCGGAAGAAGCCTCAAGGTTCTGGCCTGAGTGGCTGTGTACAATGCTTTTTTTTTAAGTGTCGGCATTGGCATGATCCTGAACTTTAATTCTCTGTATTACAGGGGGCAACCTGTTCGGTTTAATCACTTCTAGTTTTGTGTGGGATGCATAAGAGGCACAGGCTACTCATTTGTTCGTGACTCTGATCCCAGAGTTAAAAAATACTGTGCTTTCTTGGGAGAATATAGTTGTATAATACTCATTTTGTTAAACGTGGTCTGTTCTACCCAGCTAAGAAATGTTATGCTTTTGCTGTGCTATCAGACGGAGCTGATGGCAGTCTCCACTCTGTAAGTTGTGGAAAAAAGGGTAAGTGGGAACAACAGGCTTCAGGGCACGAGAATCTCGGGCAGTGTTACAAGAGTTTGTTAAATCATTTGGCATCTTTGAAAGGTGTCTCTTTCTCCACTTAAATAGGATGACTTTTGAGGGGAAAAGACTAAACTTGAAATTATCCCACTTTCTCAGTGGAGCTTCTACTTCAATCTCAGAATATTGGTCTGTTAAGTTACTTCAGCAAAATGCCCTTCAGAAGTGGGAGGAAGCAGTTAACAGTAGGTTTTGGTTTCGGGCCCTCTTCGCATCAGCTTAGTGGCTTTTTGGTAGGCTTTCTTAAGAGTGTAGGTTTTTTATCTCAAAACTAACGTTTACAAAGCACAGTTTGTGACTGTGTAAACCTAATTAGTTTGTTCAGTGGAGCTGTTTGTAAATACAAAAAGGGCCCTTTTATAAGAGAAGAATTTTGGTCACTACCTGCTGTCAGCTGCTTGTGTGGCTCCTTTGGATATGCCAATACCAAGAATGGAAATAGGCTCAATGTCTCACCTGAGTATGGGAGTTTTACCAGGCTGCTGCTTGAGGATTTGTCATGGGAACTTGGCAAGTGCAAAGGGGGCAGGGATGAATGCAGAAGCAGCAAAATTAAGTAGACAGAGGCCTGTTAAATTTCTTGCATCTAAATGGAGGGTCTGGTGAAGGGAAGCTTGTGTCAGGTGCTTCCTAGATGATGAGGCAAAGCTGCTTAAATGTCAGAGCCTGTACATGGCTGTGTAGTTTCCCTTGGCTTTTCAAGCTGCTTCAGCTGCATGGTGTTATCAAAAAAGATGGTAAGATGGACAGAACTGCTTGTGTAAGCATTGCCCAAATGTAATAGGCCTGTAGCTAGTTTGCAGTTGATGCTCTTTGTCACATCTGTCTCAAACGAAGCATAAGTTGCTTCTCAAAAGCTATTTTGTTACACTAAAATTGCTGTGTTCAGTGATACATCAGGTACTAGAAGCACATCAGGATTATTCAGTGTTTCTCTTAAAATTGGTTACCCAAACTAGAAGTAATCTCTGAGCATTGAAAGCTTTAGGTCAAGGTACTGATCTCTTGCTACAATTCAATTTTCTGTATAGCAAAATGTTAAGCCTATTATTAGTAGTAGACTGTATTTACATCCACTAAGGAGATAGACATGTGGTGTGAGTTTACTTAATTGCTCTTTTCTGTCATTAGCCTGGAAAAGTTTCTCCTGCTTTTACTTTCGCATTTATTGCAGCAGCAAATTCAGAAGCTGTACAAGCCTACAGATTCTGGAACAGCTTTCTGGAATGAAATGATGAGGTCAAGGGCTTTAATAGTGTTTTACAAAAGGAAAAAAAAAGTTTAGCATGCATGTGTGAGGGATGGTACTAGCCTGAGTGGTGTTTATTCCAGAATTCCTTTTGTGGAACAAACCTACTTTCTCATTTTAGTAATCTCTATATACAAACCAGTCTTTCCCAAACCATCAGGCCAATGTTATTATTGTAATTAGCACACAAAAAGGACACTTCTGTGTATAGGCTCAGCCTTCATTTGTACCTGGACTACTTGATGCCATGTTGGTGTTGCAGGAGCCAGGTCTCAGCTGGTTGGTGTCTTCCATACCTGCTGGCTGCTTTGCTTTGCTGCAGGAGTTCAGCGTGACCGTGAGTTACGAGGCTGAGAGAGAGGGGGGGCCTCTCCCACTAGCACTGGAAGTTCCCTTTGCGTTTTCCCTGCTGTAGTGCACAAGGGCTGGGTGCTTTATTTTAGTCTGGTGTTTAAATCTTGCTGCTGGTGGTGGTGGAGCACAGACGAGCTCTCTGCTGTCAGGAGTACCAAAAAGGAAATGGCTGTTCTGTCTGCAGCAGCCAGTTCTGCTTTCTGATCTCTGCACCCCAGCTGGCAGCTCCCGGGGCTGACCGGGGAGCGCTGATGTGGTGGAGGGGTGTATTGGCTCTGCTGAAGTGAGCCAAATTATGAGAGTAATTTCTCTCTTGCGTGGCTGACTGAAATGCTTTTCAGGGCTGAAGATACAGATGACCTGGTTCTGCTTGGAGAGGTTTTACGTACGGAAGGGTCCCTCGCTTTGAGCACAATTACTGTATGCTAGAGCACCCGCTCCACAAGCTGCTTTTCTGGACTTGTGAAGTCTCTTCAAGGAGCTACTGCTTTTAAGCAAAAGAAAGCAAAGATCCAGAATCTTACCACAGTGGTACAGCCCCAGGTACTGTTTTGGTGAACAAAAAAGTAGTTGGTTTGGTCCTTTTTTTTTTTTTTTTCTTTTTCTGGAGGGTAGCTAATGTGTCTTGTTTGATGAGAGCCTGCAGGTAACTTGCTCTGGTTTAGGTGAGAACTGTATCCACTGCCATGTGTATGCACAGCCATGGCAGCTTGGGAGCAGGGGATCTGGACACAGCAGTTGTCCAATGAACACGTTACAGGATCACAAAGATAGTAACTGTCATTGCATTGTCTCAAACTTTTTCAGTAACAAAACAGGAACCAAAGTGCTTTTTTCTTTGTTCCTGTGGACAGTGAGGTAAGGGAGAGGTTCTTGGGTTTCTTTCTACTGGCTAAATGGTTTCTGCAGACAGAGAATTCTAAAATAGTGAGTGATAAAATGCAGTTGGGAATTCTTCCGTATGCCCTGACAGTGGCCCGGAGCCAGTCAGTGAAGCTGAACAGAACTGAACTGCTGTTCCGAACAGTTACTTAACAGCCTCATTCTCCCTGCCCCCCCCCATCCCCTTTAGGTGGTAAGGCTTGCCAGTCTGAGAATTATAAACCAACTATCTCGTAATTAAATTGGCAGAGTAACCTAGGTGAAGCAGCTCAGCCATGAGACCCCTGTGACAGGTGACTCACCCTGAAAGACTAATGAGGAGTCCTGATGGTTTAATGCCCGCTCCAGCAAGCAGTGATGTCCTTTCTTACCCTCTCCTTTCCCTAGTTTATCACTGACAAGTTGCTTTTTCCTAAGAGCTGGAATCCTTAATGACTAAATCCCTCCTCACAGCACCTTCACCTGTGATCAATACTTGCTTCGAGTAGTATCCAGGCTCTTGGTTTTAAACACCAGTGGGATTCTGTTCCGATTCCTCATTTTCCCAAGGGATCTGTAATGCACAGCTCTCTGGCTGTCAGTCTGATGTGCAGCCAGCACGAAACGCTTGACTGACCGATACACTGCACGAAGTGGGAAGCTGCAGTTACTTTCACCGATCGGGACAAACTGTTCCACAGCATGTCACGTACTGCTATGTGCAAAGCGTGGCCTTCCATAAGGACAGACCGCTAGACATCAAGGAGTCTACAGTGTAGGCATTTGGTAGGTTTAAAAAAAAAAAAAAAGAAAATTAAGGGGGGGGGGAAAAAAACCCCACACCAGCACAATATGGGAAGGACAGTCTCATTTGCAGCTGTATGATAATGGAGCTTACAGGTGTCTGTCAGTTACTGGATATGTAATTTGGTGTGTTAGTTAAGACTCAGAAGATGATCCCACCAAGTCACTTTTATTTGCTGGCTTGTAAGGGAATTGTGCCTGAATCTGCAGTGATGGAACCAGGTCAGCCCCACAGGAGATGTTTGTTCTGATGCCAGGTGGAACCATGTGCTGCTTGTTCTCATTACGGTGATTGTTTTCCGTTACTTCCTCTGAGACTCGGCTAAGATACAGATTTTTCAACATGTAGGTTAGAGTGAAATCATTAAAGAACACTTCCAAATATTAAGTCTGATGTTTGACAGTTTACTCCCAAAGCTAAGCAAGCTCAATGGTGACAATTCCTTCTAAGTTCATCTCCAAGCCAAAGTTAAGTTGTGAAATAAATTATGAGGTCAGTGTGCTGCTGCTGGTGGAGGGATAACAGACAAGGTTGTCTTAAAATAATCAGTTTAATGAACCGCTTCTAAAATAACTGGCCTGCATATTCATCATGTCCCTCTTTCTTACTAATTAGGTAGCACTAAGATACTGCAGTGAATAGTCTGTTATGAGGGAGAATTCACTTGTTACTTCAGGAAGGGCTTTTTTCCCTGTTTCCCTCTTAGCCTGCAACAGTCCTTGCCAGGCTCCGATGGGAACAGGAGGATACTGTTGTTTCCATGCTGAGGCTTGCCACTCTTAATGTGCCTGGACACTTTTCGATTGTAATTATGTAGATATGATGAATGCTCAGTGATAGAATGAGACCACTTAACTGTGGCAGGTTCCTGAGGCAGCCAGCTTTGATCGAGGGAAGTCACGTGAAGTTGCAGTGGGACAGTTGCACAAGGACAGAGTTGCCCCAGCACAGAGGGCTGAAAGTGTTCTGAATCTTTTGGCATGTATTGAATCCGGCACCTCACTGATTCTTACTCTCTGCCTCATTTCAGATAATAATCAAAATCTACTCCTGTGTTCCAGTGAGGGTTTATAGTAGTTGGGGGAGCGGTTTTAATCCTCACTTCTATTTCCTTGCACTCTAGTACATGGGTAACTATGGAAGAAAACCAGTAAACTTAAGAATGAGAAAAAAGATGATTGGAGATGCCAGAACATGTTAACAGGAAGACAATCAGAACAGCAATTGCTACACTCACTAGGTGTGTCTGCATGCTTCAATGGATCCTGTCTGCCTGCTCATCCTAGTGACTGTAGAGGAGCTGGAGATGCTCAAGAGCTCCAGGCAGAGGAAGCTGTCAAGTGAGAAACAATTTAATAGAGTGAAGAAGCATATAGTTCTGCTGAGCAAAGATTTAAAACAAAATAGGTCGCTCTTGTAATAAGGATCTTCACAGAACTGCTCTAGCAAAGCATTGAGTTTCTATAAATGGGATGCTGGGATGATTCTGAGCATGAGTGCAAGTACTGGGGGGGAAATAGTTATGAATGTACTGCTGCAGAGAGGATGTTGCTATTCAAAGTTCAACTAGCCACAGGCACATAAGCCACGTAGGCTTCTGAGACAGCCTTAGAGAAAAAACTTTTGTTTAGAATGTATATACCATGAACAACTGTTCTAAACTTGAAGCAAAAATACATGCCGATAGCCTGAGCCCGCTGCAGGTATTTTTTTAGAGAACGTCCACTGAAGGGTAAGTTACCAGCTATATCACTTGTTCAAAAGCCATTTTGGAAAGATTGCTGATACATTAGTAAACGCGTTCAACTTCATATTGAAAATCAGTCTGCATGAACAGATCACTTAACTCACTGAAAATTAATTCTTCATGTTTAGGAATGCACAAAAAAAAAAGAGCCCTAACTGCACATTTAACCACAAAATCCAAATCGCTGAAGACAATGAGTCAACTTCCATGACAAAAAGAATCATGCATGCCCTTTACTAGTGTGGATTAACTTTTTTGGATCTCCCAGTAGAGAAGAAAAACTAACGTCATGGTTTATGTAAACTTGAACTGCATATGTAGCATCACTGCTTTTATTGTGGGTGTGATAGCCCTCCCAGGGATCGTTTGTCATCAGTGTGAAGAAAGCAGTTAAACCTGTCTGCAGCAGCAAGTGAGGAGACAAGTCTTCAGCTGATGCCTAGCAGCTTAACTCTCCCACGTTCAACCCAGGTCATACAATCTACAGCCTTAGCCTGATGAAAGGCTCACCAAATTTATTTTGATAGATCTCAAACTCTCAGCTGATGATTTTTAAACAAAGATGGCCAGAACTTCAGGTAGGTAGAGGTGAAAAGCCCTGATGACGTAACTGCATTTTCACATTCAGGAATCACAGGAAGATGATGAAATCTCAGGTGAATTTGTGCAGAAGCGTTCCACCACACCCTCCCTCAACCATTCCACGCTGGCAAGCTTTTACTCAGTGCAGAGATTACAAAACTATTAATGATCTTTAAAAAGGTAGTTTCAGAAAGCTTTATTGAATACTTCTGAATTTGTCACAGCATCAGTAAATAACATTTCGTATTAGCCTGCTGTACACTTTCAAACCAGTTCCACACTACATTATAGGAACTCTGTGCTACCACCTTATTGAACAAGTAGTTTAGTTTGTAAGCCCATACAGTGTTGTTTGAATGTGACTGTGACGGGCCTGAAGACAGGGTTGCTTTGTCACATGACGACACCACAGGCAAAGAAAACAGAGATCTCTTGAAATGCTGTCGTGCTGGTAGACCATATGGCTAGTCCAAAGGCTCTTTTCCTCCTGCCAGCTTGACCAAAAAAAGCCAGATGCATCCCCACGCTATTGCACTCTGTTATTCATCCCCAAACAGGCACTAATTTTAGGCTTGTAACAATTCTGGTGGTAATGAAAATATTTGTTCATTTATTATGGGAGTGAGACTATATATCACAACTTTGTGCAGATGATGTCTTACTGTATAAATGAGAAAATTATTCTATATGGGATTCTTAAGCCCAACATTATTATTTTTTTAATTACTTTCTTATATTAATTTCCTAGATACTTTGTATGTCTACCTTGTGCAATTAACTTCCCTGTCGCCTTATTTGTTAAATCCACGCTGGCAAATGCAATATTTCTTCCTTGCTTCAAAATCTGAGCTGTAATCAGTATCTCTTCTCCAATCTTAGCAGCAGAAGTATATCTTCAATGAAGAACAAAACGAACAGGTAAGAGGCTGTACAGAGCACAAATCCAAGAATATTCCGGCATTTCAGATAATCATGAAGGAAATTAGCAAAAGTGAGTAATCAAGACACAGCACTCTCTAAGTGCCTGCTTGCAAATCCCCACTTCTTAAAAGTCCTTAAGTTCCTCTAAGTACTGTAGTGGTAATTCAGTATAAGAGTTCTCTGAGAAAATGGAGGAGAGAAAGAAACCCATTGGCTTGGTTCTGAGGAACCAAGTTCTGTTTTGGAGCGCAAACAATTGGGTATCAAAGATCTCAGTTAAAGGTTCAGCCCCAAGTCCTATTCCAGCCATTGCTGACTCCCTACAGCCTTTCTAAACCAGTCTGGCTGGTTCAGCTGCAAAATGTCTCTGTTACAAAGGCTCCGAAGGTCATTTCTGTATGGAACCTAAGCATAGGTTAACCCTGGTGGGAGAACAGTCATGGAAATCTGGGAGGCCTTCAAACTTCCCAGGTTTAACGCTGTTTCCATTCATTAGACAACTCTTTGTTTTTATTTACGTGAGTAGGAGGGTGTGCTTTTAAAACACACTCTGCAGGGAATAGGAAGAAATTCCCCATAAAATGCCTGGAGAGAATTAGTAGGAACATGATCCAACCATGATCTGAGGTAAGGGAACAATATTCAAACGTAAGAGCAGAATGTATAATTGCTGGATATAAATTTTTATTGAGATAAATTTCATCAACCAGTCCATTTTTATACATGATGCCACATCAAAAGTATGTCAGTCACACCTAATGATGATCTAGCATAAGCCCCATTAGTTGACAGGGGGCAGGGTTTCAGTCTTGGTTCATTCTCAGAGGCTGATAATGATCCTCTTGTGATTAAAAAAAAAAAAAGTTTCTCTGTTTCCCTCTGTTCTTTCCATTACTGAAATAGTTTTCTCATGACAGCCCTTTAAAAAGCTTCTTCCCAAAAAGGAAAAAGTTGTATTATAGCAGTATTTGATATCCAGTATCACTTGTTCAATGAAAGCAGTAGTCTGGGTTAAACAAAGCTATTAATACTGCTTCACATAATATTTCCTAAAGGTTATGCCACTCAGTCATTTTTGGATCACCTCCAGAGAGGGCACTTTCTTAAGATTTTAGCCCTTATGTAATTGGGTAGGCATACTTGCTAGTGTAAATAATTCAGATATTGGCCTCTTGTTACAGTACTGTAGGGGAAAAGCCATAATCATAGGAGAATTTCCGGGTTTCATTTCCAGTAGTTTCCTGGTCGTCACAGTGGTAGTATGAAGCTTAAATAGATGCTCCAGTCCCACCCACCCAGTGGAGAAATCAGAGCATGCTGGGGGGGGGAAAGGAGGGAACCTGGTAAAGATACAGATCACTCCCCACACACTTTTAAAGCTTTTATTTTTTAAGACAGTTTTGATGTTGGGGTTACTTTTCCAAGATTTTTAATGCTCTGTGTCAGTTATTCCAAGTAGGATTACTCTAGTTCCAATCAGTCATAATCTCTTCATTAAAAGTAATGAAGCAATGCTGACAAGCTGTAATAGCATTTTTTTAAAGACACCATGCTTTAAATTTGCATTACAGGAAGAACTGTTCTCAATATAAAACTACCTTTAAGTGACCTAGAGCAAAGGCATCTTCCTTCTGTGAGAAATTCTGATTCAATCTGTAACTCACCCTCTGTGTGAGCATACAACAGAGCTAAACTGTTTCCTGTTTTAGTATTTTTCCTGTTTTAACATTTTATGGACTAATACTAAAAAAGGGTTTATAGAAAGCTGCTTACCCTCGATTTTGGTGTTTGAGGACACGCTCTAACACATCTTCGCAAGCGAAGACAAAAGCTGAGCCAATTTCATAAGACTAAAACTTAGCAGATACCGACATCCCTTTACATTCTATGAATGAACAGATACGTGTATAAAAAATAAAAGCTTAAGTCCAACGTGAATTTTGTAACCAAATGGCAATATCCCCAAACACACACACACACCCCTTAATTTGTCAAAATAAGACCTCTGAAACCAAAGAAAACACCCTTAAGTGAGTACTATAGCACAGAAACAACGTACAACTGAGTGAATACCGTGTTAGGGGAAGAAAAGTTGGTATGTTCTGGTTAAACAGGGTGGATGATACCTACGTGATATTCATGTCCACACTGACCCCAGGCACCGCTTTTTCTGTGTACAGCAATGCTGCTGTTGACACCACATCCACAAGTGTGGCCGTCAAACCTCCATGTAACGTGCCACCTCTGTTTGTATGCTCCTCCTCTACTTTCATTTCGCAAACAACTTTTCCAGGAGTTGCAGAAAGAAGTTTCATCTGTATAACCAAAAAAAAGAAATAAAAAGCTTACTGACAACAGTACCAACACCTCATACTGCCCTGAATCAAACCGAAAGTAAATCTTGTTTAATTCTGGACTCCTGAGACAAATTAGAAGATGGAAAATACAGTGATTCAACTGTCACATTAGGTATTTCCATAAATTTTGAGCAGAAAATTGTTGCCTTAGAAAAAATTGTATTTCTAGTGCAGATAAATATTTAAACCGACAGCTTAACCAAACTTCAATACTTGCTATGCTCTCAGGAATTGCTTAGGGGACAACATTCCTCTTCGATTTTCCTTTGCTTTAATCTGTGACTGAAAAGCCAGATTAGAGGGAACACAGAACTGCTCTGACTGTGTGTGCCACAGCTGTGAAGGCATATTTCTTAGCTCACAAAATGGCAATGAGACTGATGGTAATTCATTAATCATTATACTAGAGCAACCTCAGTGAAAATCAGTATTTTGAAATGAGCACTGGAAATGCTAATGAGATTGGCCTCTCTGAGCTGAAATTCAAACTCCTTGGTAGAAGTACTATACCGTACTACAGCATCATAACTTGCATATGCACTTTTTATTCCAGCCCACAGGTGTTAAATAGAAAATCTACAGGACATCTATGGTACTGTGTTTCCCCCCATAAGCAGCAGAAGCAGATGGATTTTTGAGACCAAGAAGTTACTGCAATTCAGTATATTAAAATCTTCTCCAGTTAGTAGCACTATATTCAAAATCTGAAAGCAGATGCAAAACTGGGGTAAGTTCAGCCTATATATTTACACCTACAATTAAAACTCTGAAGTACCTTTAGACCATCACAAGTGAAATGTGGGCATAACATTTATAATTCCTACTAATTTTCTATTTTTTTTATAAAGTGTTTTTTTTAAACTTACACGTTTCCATACTGTATCAGCTGAGTTGACTTAAATCTTTTTAATCTTAAAAGGAATTAAGATTGAAATGTCTCCAGTTTCACTATTCCTTATTTCTAATGCAGTGTAAGAGCTGAGTTTCAGCCACTGTCCCTTTCCGATAAGCCAAAGTTTATCCAAATTTTGCAGAGAAATTATACTAAGCTAAACAATGATGCAGCCCACAGTCTATCTACGAATGGAAAAAGCTGGAATTAAGCAGAGGGGAAATCACTGACACAGTGTCCTAATATAGAAACAGCACCTTTATCAATGAAAATCCCAAGTCCTAAACCAGGCACGCTGCGCTGCAGTGACTGGAGGCCTAAGTTTCTGACAGAACTTCTAACGAGGACTTTCCTGACGCGTGACACCGGGAGCAGATGGCTTCCACTGCCATCAGGGAGTGCTCCAATCCGTCAGCGAGGCAAGGAATGTGTCTGCTTTCCGTTGTCATTGCTCGGATCTGGCGCTAGCTGCCTGCTCTCCTTGACGAAAATAATTCAGTATCTGAACGCTTCCAGGACTCACGCAGCCAGAGCTGCTGGTTTGTGCTTCTCCAGCCCTTCTGTGCCTGCCCTCCCACCCGTCTGTCTCGGCGAGAGGTATGCAGCGTTGGCTTCCAGCCACTACTGCGATGCAACACTTCTTTGGAGAAAGGGCTTTAAAACCCACGGTGGTGTAAGCCCTATGAAGATACCACATTGGAATTAAACCAGACACTAAGTCTGGTGCTGGAGCTGAAAAGTTTCAGACTAAAATCTGTCTTCCCCAGAAGAATCTTGAGTCCTTTAGAAAGGCTTCGGGCATCTCCCAGAAAAACAGCAGATACTTTAAATAAAACTGTACGTTTATTGCTATTATTTATGTTCATAGCATCACACTTCTAGGAGGAGATTGCAGAAAAAAGTCAAGAAGCATTCCAGAGCTAGGTAAGAAACCAGTCTCCCAAGGCTCGCTTCCAGCCTGTTACCATTATGAGCTGGAAAGCTGTACATAGTAGGATTTTAAGGTAAAGGAGAATAAAGTTATCACAGTAAAGAGGTGACCAAGAACTAACCGGACTCTTTACAAATAAATGGATTTCATAGACTTCAAACTTTATACTTTTTATGTGAGAGGCCAAAACGTCTTGGGGAAACAAGATAATAGTTGTTTTGTAAATAGTCACACATTTCTATTAAATGTACTGGACCATGGAGCTGTCAATGAAAGCACTGCTTGCTTCTCTACAATGCACACCACACCAATTTTAAAGTGGCTGGTTTCCTTAGATCTATTTACTGCTGCTCTCCGTGTCACGGTTACACAAATAAACAGAAATCAAAGGCAGAATTCTAGCATTGCAAAACTTAATGAGAACACTGAAACTGCTTCACAGGACCCCCCGACGCAGGAGCTCAGGAAACCATCAGCTATGCTGCTGCACGCTACAAAATTTAAGGCGACACAGCAACGTCATTTCAACTTTTTTTGATCATAACCTAGCAGTACATTAGAGCCGTACCCGTCAAATACGTTTCTTTATACGGAGCCTTGTTAGAAGCTCACAGAGCACTTAAGTGCTTGTCTTTTTGGTGTGACTTCAATGTGAAGTGTTGGATGTTATAACTAGCTACTTTTTTTTTCAACAGAGTAGTAATTTATTCCATAATTTCACAGTCCTGATAGTTCGCTTAGTCACAGGTACTAAGGAAGGGATGAATACTAGTTAATAAATAACTCACGGAAAGCTATTCAGCACAATCCTTGTCTTCAGAGAGGTGCTGGGGGGCAGCCCTGGCACTTGAGGTACAGAATAATAATTGTGTTTTCAACAGCACGTTACCATCCAAGACCAGGTCGGACGGGGCTCTGAGCAACCTGATCTAGTTAGCGGTGTCCCTGCTCACTGCAGGGGGGGGCTGGACGAGATGACCTCTAGGGGTCCCTTCCAACCCAAAACTATGATTCTATGATCGCGGCCGCCCCCCCGCCCCAACCCCGCGTTCGGAGATCTCGGATCCGGGGAAAACACGGTCAGGCCCGCACCACCGGGC